CGTGGCGTTGGGTTGTCCGGACTCGGCGTCATGGGCACTGTAGGGTTTTGCCCGTAGTTCAGGTAGAAGGGGGACTGCTACGTCGTCGCTGACATGGCGTTGTTATACGCGAACTCGATCAGCGGCAGCTGCTGCTCCCAAGTGGTTTGGTCGTCGCACGTGGCACGAATCAACTGCTCCATCGTCTGATTCGTCCGCTTCGTTTGACCGTTGGTCTCGGGGTGGTACGACGAGCTGAACTGTAGCCTTGTCCCGAACTGCTCCCAGAGGTTCTTCCAGAAGTTGCGGGTGGACTTCGTGTCGCGGTCGCTGATTATCGCGGCTGGTATCCTGTGCAGTCTAACGACGGCTGCGATGAACAGGCGAGCGGTTTCTTTGATCGATTTCTTGCACGCAGCGAAGTGTGCCATCTTCGTCAACCTGTCAACGACGACCATAACTGCGTCGTTACCCCCAAGGTTCGAAGGTACCCTATGACGAAATCCATGGTAACCTGCTGCCAGGCGCGCTCAGGCGGTGGAATCGGCTGCAACGGACCCGCCTTTCTTTTTCGCGAGCTCTTCATCACCTGACACGTTGGAAACGAGCCCACGTGGTGCTGTAAGTCAGTCAACAGCTCCGACCAGTAGTAATACCGCTGCAGTTGCTGTCGCGTTTTTTCTACCCCGAAATGTCCCGAGGTAATCCCGTCGTGTGCCTCCTGCAGTAACAGTTCCCTCAGTAGTGAGTACGCGGGTACCCAGATGCGGTTGTCAGAATGTTATTATTATCTAGCCTGCAGTGGGGTACTCTACAGCGAGTACAACCCAATTAGGGTTTCCTATATGTATGCCAACTGCTGCTAGTGCAAATCCTCCTTTGCTCATTCTTGTTTCTGACTTCTCATTCAGATATGCTATCAGAGCAGGTCGACCCCCTTGGGTCGATCCTGTGGGTGGGCCCACCACCTAATGCTTCCGCTGCTTTACTTCCTGTCGTGCGCCTCGGGCACGAGACGACTTCTTCGTGCCGTGCGAATTTTTTCTACGGTTTTCTACCCGCCGTGCGCCCCGAGGCGCGCGGCTGTTTTCTGCCCGCCGTGCGCCCCAAGGCGCGCGGCGGTTCTCTGGCCGCCGTGCGCCCCGAGGCGCGCGGCGGTTTTCTCCCCCTCGTCGCCCGCCGAAGCGCCCCTGGGGACCCGCGCGTCGCCCCCGTCGCCCGCGCGCGGCCCGTATTGCACGAGCGCGGCCTGTATGGGCTGCGCCAGGCCCATGCGCGACTTGTTTTGCACGCGCGCGACCCGTACGGGCTGCGCCAGGCCCGCGCGCGGCCTGTACAGCCTGTGCCAGGCCCCCGCGCGGTTTGTACAGGCTGCGCCTGGCCCGCGGGTGCCCTGTCTCCTCTTCCCCTGAGCCGCACGCCGTCCCTCACGCTTCTAACGGCGCCCCACCCCTGCTGTTGCCCGTGCTTCTGTATTAGGGTTTGGGGGTGGAGGGTATGGGGGTGCCGTGTGTATGAGTCGTCCCCTGCTCCTCCTCCTCCTCCTTCTCCCGCTGCTGCAGCTGCCGCTGAGGGGGGTGGATGTGTTGGAGCCGTCGGAGTGGTACAAGGGGGGTGATGTGGGAGTGGAGCTAGGGGTGAAGCAGGGGGTGTGTGTCAAAGGGGGTGGGACTGTTTGGGGAGGCTGAGCGGAGGCTGCCGTCTTGTCGTCCGCAGCACCTGTAGTCCGGGGCGCTATCCTGGTAGCCCAAATAGCTTGCTGCGCCTGTCGCCCGTGGGTCTGTTGCTCCTGTAGCTCCTCGTAGCCCGTGAGCCAGTTACTCCAGTAGTCCGGGGCGCTGTCCCGGTAGCCACTGTGTGCGCGCTCGTGTTGCCCGTGTTGGAATAACTGAACAAGAATGAATGAACTAACAGTGAAATGAGTACAAGTACCTAACCCTAGAACTATGTACCCCCTATAGGCTAACCCACTGTAGCCTAAACTAACACAACATATATAATGTTTGACACACCCCCATAGGCGAAGTGGGGGAGAACTAGGGGTCACAAGACCAGTCAAGGCAAAGCAAGGCAAAACAAGCTCAGGGTGGATCTCAAGGATACCACACAAATTCCGAGCACAAACAAGTGGTCACAAGACCAGTTCACATGCAGGTTTATAATAGAGCAAAGGTACAATGATCACAACCTAGCAAGAGTAAACATGTAGGTATATATATATACATAGAAATCACAGTACAAACAGACTCAAGAGGTAAGCAAGTGAGGTCCAGTAGGCACAAGGCCTAGAAGAGTGCAAAAGCGCTGATGGTCACAAGGCTGAAGCGCCTTGGTGAACACATCAGCAGTGTTGGCCTCAGAGGCCACGTAACGTAGGCGAAGCTGACCACGCTTCTGCAGCTCTCGAGCAAGGAAGTAATGCAGAGCAATATGCTTCGTTCTGTGCTCCAGTCTGTGCTCCTCACACAAGGCAATGGCTGCCTTGTTGTCGCCGTACAGCACTGGAGGAGAACGAGGCTGCTCTCCAAGGTCGGTCAGCAATTAGGTGAGCCAGCGTAGCTCCTGGGCCGCCATGGCTGTGGCGTAGATCTCCGCCTCACAACTGGAGTTGAGAACAGAAGAAGAGCAAGTAGAACGCCAAGAAACAGAACCAGAGCCAAGACTGAAGGAGTAACCCTGAGACGACCGCTGAGTAGCCTGGTCGTCTGCCCAAGAAGCGTCTGAGTGCCCAGTGAGAACAACTGGGACTCGCCCTCCAAGCACTAGCCCCATGCCCGACGTACTGCACAAGTAGCGCAACACCCTCTTAGCTGCATCCATGTGCTCCTTCCGGTGACGGCCGAGAGCGACATAGCGTGCAAGAATGCTGAGAGGGTATGCAAGGTCTGGTCGAGTGCAGGTCATCAGGTACATGAGGCAACCCACAAGCTCTGGATACGGGCCACTCGGCTCTACGGACTCATCCGAAGGCAGAGCTGAGAGCGAGTGACCGGTAGGCAGAGGAGTGGGCTGAGGCGAGGAGTACGTGAAGCGGAAGCGCTGAAGGACCTGCTGCACCATGTGTGACTGGGTCAAGGTGATGGTGTGGCGTGCTCTGTCCCGGGTGATCTGCAAGCCAAGATAGCTTGTCAGTTCACCCAGGTCTGTGCACGTGTGTCTCTTCTGCAGCTCCGACTTCACGTGGGCGAGTGCCACAATGTCAGCAGTAGCAAAGACCAAGTCGTCGACGTACACAAGGACGTAGAATGGCGGCAGTGAGGTGTCGGTGCGTAGAAACAGCGACGGGTCAGCAGTAGAAGGTGCGAACCCAAGAGCCGCAAGCGTAGTCCTCAGTGTGTCGTGCCACTCACGAGGCGCCTGGCGGAGACCGTAGAATGGCCGTCGGAGGCTCCACTGGGTACCAGGAGGGAACGACCCAGTGAAGCCAGGTGGACGGCGCAGCCAGATCTCCTCGTGCAGGCTGCCCTGCAGGAAAGCAGTGCTGAAGTCAAGCGAGTGGAGCTCATAGTCACGCTGAGCGGCGACGTGCAGCAGAACGCGAAGAGTGGTCATCTTCGGGGTCGGGGAGAAGGTCTGGAAGAAGTCAACTCCCTCTCGCTGACTGAAGCCTCGTGCAACGTAACGCACCTTGAAGACAGGCGGAGAGCCCGGCGGCCGCTTCACCCTAAAAATCCACATGCCACTAACGATGTTCGCCCCAGGCGGGGGAACCTCGTCGACGTAGGTGCCTGTGGACTTCCAGGAAGCCATCTTTGTGTCCATGGCTGACTGCCACTGAGAGGAGTAGGGACCGGCCATCGCCTCTACGTAAGAGCGTGGGGTCGGGATGTCTGGTGCATCCGGGTCTCCCTCAGGGGCAACAAGCATGGACACGAGATGGGGCAAAGCGGCAGCAAAGCACTCAAACTCCTCCTGCCTGTCCTCAAGGACGTCAGCTCCAACGCCCGGGTCCTCAGCACCAGCGGCAGCTCCAACGCCCGGGTCCTCAGCACCACCAGCAGCTCCAACGCCCGGGTCCGCAGCACCAGCGGCAGCTCCAACGCCCGGGTCCTCAGCACCAGCAGCAGCTCCAACGCCCGGGTCCGCAGCACCAGCGGCAGCTCCAACGCCCGGGTCCTCAGCACCAGCAGTTGCTCCAACGGTAGCGGGGTCCGCAACACGAGGCACGCCACTCCGAAGAGTGCAGCGCCGCTCGTACCACTCACGGATCCGCTCGCGGGAGGGGAGCTCCCTAACGGGAGAAGAAGCACTAGCACCAGTCCCAGCAGTACGTCCGGCACGAGTGGAACCTCTCTGGAGGCTGCAGTACTCTAAGTACCACGTACGCAGCTGCTCCGAGGAGAGGGCTCCTCCAGGTGTAGGACTCCCAGGCCCAGTACCTCCAGACCCAGAACGCCCAGACTCCGGACTCTGCGGCTCAGCACCACGAGGCTCCACACCCCCAAGCTCAGCACCCCCAGGCTCCACACCCCCAGGCTCCACACCCCCAGGCTCCACACCCCCAGGCTCCACACCCCCAAGCTCCACACCCACAGGCTCCACACCCCCAGGCTCCACACCCCCAGGCTCAGCACCCCCAGCAGGACGAGAGTCGACAGCTACCTCAACAGGCTCAACCGGGTCTACCTGAGACACACCTGAGGGAGCGGCACCCTGAGGGGGGAGGGAGTCTGCAACAGCAGCACCTGGCGCAAGGAAGAGAGGCGGGGGAGGGAGCGGGGCAGTGCGGTAGGGGAAGAGGCGGTAGTAGGGGACGGACTTGTCAAAAGTGACGTCCTGGGAGGGCAAGACTCGGCGCGAGGTGGCGTGGTAAAACTGCCAACCAGACGCGTTCGGGACAAAGCCGAGGAAGACGCAGGGAACAGCACGAGAGGAGAGCTTGTTCGCAGACGTATCGCGGACAAAAGCTCGAGACCCCAGACCCGGAAACGCGACGCATCGCCAACCTTCCCCGTCCACAGCAGCGTGGGCGAGGTCTCCGGCAAGGAGACACGGGGCCAGAGGTTGAGTTGATGCGCAGCTTACCGGACCGCAAACGGCCACAGAAAGTGGGGGGAAGCCGCATGGATCAAGGAGGTACGGGCGACCTCCATGACCAGGCCAATGCGGCGCTCCGCAACCCCATTCTGCTGTGGAGAAGCCGCAAGAGTGAACGACTGCTCAATGCCGTGCTCAGCACAGTAGGCTGCCAAGAGGTCAGAGGAGAACTCACCACCTCTGTCAGAGTGTAGGCGTAGGACAGGAAAGTCCGAGTGAAAACGCTTGCTGAGCTGGAGACGGGCTCTGCGGATCCAAGGGATCAAGACATCAGGGACCTCACCCTTGGTGCGCAAGGGGAAGACCGAGGTGTAGCGCGAGTAGTCGTCAACAACTATCAGGAAGTACCTCTCATGACCCTGACCATGGACGCGGGCTGGGCCCCACACGTCCATGTTGAGCGTCTGCAAGGGAGCAGACGTCGGGGGGAACGAGGAGGAGTGAGGAGCGGCGCGCTGCCGAGGGGAGGGCAGGAAGGACCCTGGGCAGGCCAGAGACAAGGTACCGGGAGTGCATGGCACGAAGCCGCTGCACAGACGGGTGGCCAAGGCAGTGGTGCCAGAGGACAGTCTCGTGTGCCAGAGAGCGACACGAGCAGGGGGCCGATAGCTGACCTGACGCGGACGAAGACGCAGCAACCTGAGGGGACTCAGTAGTCAGTGTGTACAGGTCCGACCCCGGCTGCCGAGTGAAGGTAGCCAAGTGACGGCCCGTACGAGCACACGTGCAGTGTGTCACACGCTCGTAGGCAGGGGTGAACTGGTGAACACCCCCGTCCTGGAGCGCACATCCTGCCACCAAGTTCGTAGAGAACGAGGGGGGGTGGAGACCTGACAGTGTGCCCGACGGGACCGCAGGACAGGGAAGGACACTGGAAGAGGTCGCAATGACCGGACCCCCAGAGGGGTCAGCAAGGGAGACAGCAACTGGCCGAGCAAGCGGCTTAAGGGCAGTGCGGTCACGAAAGATGCTGCGAGAAGCACCTGAGTCCATTGTGAAGGTGTGCAGTGCTGCAGTCGACTCAGTACCAAGGGGGGCAGACACACGAGCACCTAGAGCAGCAGCCTCACCAGCACCTAGGGTAGCCGACACTCGAGTACCTGGAGCGGCAGACGCACTGGCCCTAATGCCCGAGTCGGGCGGCACACTCAAGTACTCAGCACCCTCTCCACTAGTAGACATCACATACATGGCGGATAGAATAGCATCAAAGTCTAGAGCATAGATATCAATCCCCTTCTTCAGGAGATCAAGCCAGCAGGGCAGCTCAGTGGCCTGAGGGAACTGAACACGCCAAGCGTCGTCGAGACGAGAGAAGCAGCGCTGTGTGGCGTGCGGTCGTCCACACTGCTGACCAGTGCGGTCACCAGTGCGAATGACGTACGTGCAGCTAAGACCACCCCCACCCCCGTGCTACAAGTACCACTCACGGACCTCCTGGGGCGAAGGAGTGTGCTGCTGACCCTGGCCACCGCCAGCGCCTCCACGGCCACCACCACCGCTGCCACCTCCTCGACCACCCCAACCCCTGCCGCCGCCTCGTCCACCGCCACCCCAACCGCCGCCTCCACTCCTGCCACCTCCCCTGCCGCTGCCGCCACCACCCCTACCGCTACCACTCGCCCGTCCAGCCGAGCCACCACCCCCTTTGCCTCCACCGCCCCCACCGCCACCTCCCCCGCCGTCACCGCCACCACCCTTGCCCACTTTGCCCTTGCCGCTGCGGCGCCCGCTCGAGGCAGACGCAGCGCCGACCTTCTCAGCACCAAGAAGGTCGACAGCAGCAGCAGAGGCGTCAGAGGGAAGAAGGGGGAAAGGAGAACACCCCTCAAAGAACGGGGTACGGGGGTCGCCACGAGAGGCACCTACAGCGACTATGCTAGTCTCAACTGCAAGTAGCTCCTTCTCGAGGAGGGCAATGGTGAGCTCAGTGGGGCAACGAGCTAGGAAGTGGTCCCTGACAGCACGCAGTGTGTCAGGGAGGCGGGTGACTAGGTGGTAGAGAGTGAGCCAGAGTGGAGGGGGGTGCGTGGCAAGGAACTCAGCAGGCATGGCGGCACGGAAGCGGGCCTCACTAGTACGGAGGTGCGTGATGAGGTCAGCGACTGTGTGAAAGGAGGCCAGGTCGGGAAACAGGTAGGGGAGGGAGAGACGGCCTAGTGCGGCAGAGGCAGGTGAGGAGTAGCGAGCAACGACAGCTGTGTACAGTGCCTGTGCAGTCTTGTGCTGGCCAAAGCGCTCGCGTTCGTCTATCGGCAGGGAGTTGCGAATAGCGAAGCGAGCGTGGGCATCACGAGTCTGCCACTGTGAGCGAGCAGTGTTGTCAGTAGTAGCAGCAGGGGCAGTGACATGGCCTAGGGCGTGATCGTACAGTGAGATGTCATCCTTGGCTGTGAGCTGTAGGTAGAGGTGCAGGTCATCGAGCCAGGTGTCAAACTTCACAGGGCGGCCCTTAGCATCGAACACGAGAACCTGTGGGCTAACCATAGGAACAGTAGAAATAGCAGCAGTAGCAGTAGGAGAAGCAGGTAGGACGAACCAGTTAGGGCAGGGCGGCGCGGCTCGGTTCAGGTCGGGTCGCGCGGTTCGGCTCAGGGCGCGCGGCTCGGCTCGGGGCGCGCGGCTCGGGTCGCGCGGCTTGGGTCACGCGGCTCGGTTCGGTCGCGGGCTGCGGCGGGAACGGGCCGCCCGGGGCCTCTAGGAGCGGTGGGCACGGGTCGGCGAGGTCGGCACGGGGCCGGTTGGGGCCCTAGAGGGGCGAGCGCGGGGCCGATCGGGGCCTAAGTAGGGCTAGCGCGGGGCCGACGGGGCCTGAACGGGGCTAGCACGGGGCCTGAAAGGGGCTAGCGCGCGGCCGACGGGGCCTGAAACGGGGCCGACGGGGCCTGAAACGGGGCCGACGGGGCCTGAACGGGGCTAGCACGGGGCCGATCGGGGCCTTAACGGGGCTAGCACGGGGCCGACGGGGCCTGAACGGGGCTAGCACGGGGCCGACGGGGCCTGAAAGGGGCTAGCGCGGGGCCGACGGGGCCTGAACGGGGCTAGCACGGGGCCAACGGGGCCGGAAAGGGGCTAGCGCGGGGCCGATGGGGCCTGAAACGGGGCCGACGGGGCCTGAACGGGTCTAGCGCGGGGCCAATCGGGGCCTGAATGGGGCTAGCGCGGGGCCGACGGGGCCTGAGAGGGGCTAGCGCGGGGCCGACGGGGCCTGAAACGGGGCCGACGGGGCCTGAACGGGGCTAGCGCAGAGCCTGAACAGGGCCTTAAAGGGGCCGACGGGGCCTGAATGGGGCCGCTAGGGAGAGCGGGCGTGAGGCCGACGGGGCCTGAACGAGGCTAGCGCGGGGCCGTCAAGAGGGGCCTCTAGGGGCGTGACACGCCGAGGCGCCCTAGGGCACAGGTAGGTAGGTAGGTAGGTAGTTACGTAGTGGTGGGCCCTTAGAAAATTTCAGTCCTCGGAAGGACCTGCTCTATACCATGTTGGAATAACTGAATAGGAATGAATGAACTAACAGTGAAATGAGTACAAGTACCTAACCCTAGAATTGTGTACCCCCTATAGGCTAACCCACTGTAGCCTAAACTAACACAACATATATAATGTTTGACAGCTTCAGTCGTCGTCTCCCATCTTCTCTCCCCTCACAATTCCTCCTCCTCCTCACTTGCCCTCTGTGATCGCCTCTAGCTTTACTTATAATTGTGAACTATTGCTATGCCTGCTCATTGTGCTGATTACACCCCATTTTGGCTATGGGGGTGTGTCAGAATGTTATTATTGTCTAGCGTGCAGTGGGGTACTCTATAGCGAGTACAACCCAATTAGGGTTTCTTATATGTATGCCAACTGCTGCTAGTGCAAATCCTCCTTTGCTCATTCTTGTTTCTGACTTCTCATTCTGATAGCGGTTGGTGCCTGTTTTTACGTGATAGACTCCTCTGGCCTCTGCTAGTAGCTTTGAATTTTTGGTCGTGAAAAATGGGTCGGTACTCTATCCGTGGGTGAATAGGCCTGTTAACAATGGGTTGGTTTGGGCGAGTAGGATAGCATGGAGTTGGGCGGTGGGGCGTGTCAGTGCGTCGGCGATGTTGGATGCGCCTTTTCTGTACGTGACCGTGTAGTGGAAGTTGGACTCCAGATAGTCCAACAAACGGATCTGTCGTGGGTTGAGGTTCCGTTGGGCGCGAAGGTACTGTAGGGATCGGTGGTTTGTCCGTACTGTCACGTCTGCTCCCGTAAGGTAATATCGCCACACCTTGAACGCGTGCACGATCGCCAGCATTTCGCGGTCGTGTATCGGATAGTTGCGTTCGGGCGGGTGAAGCTTGCGGGACTCATACGCGATTGGCTGAAGGCCGTTCCCGAAGGCCTGCAATAGTACGGCTCCCAAAGCGATGTCGCTAGCGTCGGTGACGAGCTCGAACGGACAGTGCGGATCTGCGATGTTAAGTACGGGCGGTGAGCACAAAATAATTTTGAGGGCCGAGAAGGCAGCTTGCTCTTTCTCCCCCCACGTGTACTCAACCCCCTTCATCAGCAGGTCGGTCAACGGGGCAGTCAGCTTCGCCATGTCGGGGACGAACCGGCGCACGTAGTTGACGAACCCCAAAAAACTCTGCAGCTCGAACAAGTTGGTCGGCGCGTGCCATGCTTGAATCGTCGCATTTTTTTTCGGGTCTATTTCCACTCCTGCAACTGAAAAAACTCACACTTAGATGCTTTTGTCAGTAGGCGGTTCTCACTCAGTATCTTAAAAACTGCTTCGATGTCCTGTAAGTGCAGTGCTCTGTCATGGCTGTAAATCAGTATGTCGTCAAGGTACACAATGACGCACTTATATAAAAATAGGCGGAAAGCTTCGTTCATGGTTATTTGAAAGGTGGCGGGGTCGTTGGTCAGTCTGAAGGGCATGACGGTCTATTCGAAGGATCCGTAACGTGTTCGGAAGGTTGTCTTAGGGCAGTCGGGTGGGTTGACGCGAATCTGGTGGCAACCTCCCCGAAGGTCAATTTTCGAAAAAAAACCCGGGCTGTGCGCGGTTGGTCGATCAGTTCGTCGGCTCGCGGGATGGGGTAACGGGATTTGATGGTAACCCTGTCTAGTGCCCTATAAAGTATGCACATGCGAAACTCCCAGTCTTTTTTCGGTGTGAACAGTATCGGTGCTGCGAAGGGCGACGAACTAGGGCGAATGAACCCCTTCTCGAGCAGGTAATCCAGTTGCTTCCTCAGTTCGTCCAGTTTGGGTTGGGTCAGCCAGAACTGTCGCTTTACTGTCGGCTGTGCCCCCGGTTCTAGTTCTATCCTATGGTCGTGCCGTCGCTGAGGTGGCAGTCCCGTCGGTAGGTCGTCCGGGAAGATGTCAGTCGACTGCTTCAACAGTGCTGCAAGATCATCCAGTACGTCGGCTAGCAGTTTCTGTAAATCCCCCCTTTTGTCTGCTGCCTTGGCTTCCCGAATGTCAACCGCATACACGTCATCTCCTGCCGCTACGGCGCGTTTCATCATGATCGCGTTGACACGCACCGACGAAGACTCAGGCGAGCCCCAGCGAGGTAAGGCGATGTTGTTACCGTTCACTCGCACAGCGCAGTCCCCCGTTGTCCAGTCGATTCGCGGGTTGTGTCGTCGCAACCAATCACGCCCGAGTAAAATATCGGTTCCGTTGAGGGTCGTTGCGAGCATTTCCTGGCTAAACGGGAAGTTACCCCCGCATCGAATCCGAACTCGGTCCACACTTTCCCGCATCGCCAGTGGCGTGCCATCGACCAGTCTTGCGTCGATCTCAGGTAAGCATCTGTCCAGTCGCAGTTTTCGTGCTGTGGCAGTGTTGATTTGTGGCTGGCCCCTCCGTCTACGAAGATTTTAAGTAAGTCCGTCCCGATTTTCCCACTAAGTAGTATAGGGCTGTCTACCGTGGTACCCTCCTCATTCGGCCGGGTGTGGTCGATTGCGTGAACCAGCACAATCACCCGGTGAGGGTCGGCTGGGTCGGGCGAGCGGCGTGACCTGTCAGTAGAGGGCCCGTCTGCTACTGACTCCCAGCGTTTCCCTGCTGCTTCGTCTATTTCTGCTGCTCAGCTTCCCCCTTTCCCTTTGCGTTTTCCGAGCATTCGCTCTTGCGGTGTCCCGGCCGATTGCACGCTAAGCAGCGCCCTTTGAACGGTGCGGTAGCGCCATTTGCGGCGACGGTGCGTATCGTAGCGCCCTCGTTCGTCCCACGAGGCCGATCTCCCCAATTGCTGCTTCCGTAGGACCCCGGTCTCGGTCGGCGGAAGAAATCGAGTTTCTCCACCATGGCGAGAATCTCCCGAAAATCGGTGACGCCGCGAAGCTGGATTTCCTGAGCGATGTCCTGCTTCAAGCCGCCGATGTAGCGGTCGATGTGCTCGCTCGCATGCATGTATCCCACCTGCTCGCATAGCGCCAGAAACCCGCTCATGTAGTCTTGGACGGAACCGAGTTGGCGCCAAGTGCGGAGCCTCTGTCGCGCCGCGATCGAAGCCGCAATTGGCTCTAAATGAGCGCGCACACCTGCGCAGCACGCGTCCCATGTGCGATACTGGGGCACCTCCACGAAATACCACGGCGCGTAGGGTCCGGTTTGTCCTTTCCGTGTCGGTAGAGTCGCGTAGTCCACCGGCTTCGTGACGATGACACGCCACCAGTCCATGGCAGGACCTCGCAGCAACGACACGACGTAGCGAATCTTCGCCGTATCCTCCGAGACGTAAAGAAGACGTTCAACGTGAAAAGCCACGCCTGAACGGTAGGACCACCTCGCCGACTTGGGTCAAAGCATGGCGGACACTGCGGCTTCTGCTGCATCGGCGACGGTAGGGTTGATTCGTCGGCCAACACCGAAATAGTGACTCGAGGCTGAAACCTGGCCGCATTCGTCGCGTCGGGGTGTGTCGTTCCGTGGTGATCATCTCCGTCATGGCGCACATTGCCATCACTTGCAGCGCTCGCAGGTTGCCCCACACTTCCGTGTTGCGATGCTTGTGGTACGAGCTGAATCGGAGTGCCAGGTGCTTGGGATTGTGCTCGTGCGAGGTCATTTTGTAGGGACGTACGTTCTGCCATCAGCGCCGCGATTTCTTCAGACTTTTCGCAGATTTGCCACAGTAGTTTGTTCAAGTGCTCCTGCGTGAGAGTCGCGACATCGATATGCTCAGCCATTACGAGGGACGTCGGTTCGGCTTAGTCTAGGCGCAGTCGTGGCTGCACGCGTTTACGTGATAACGCGATGACAGCGGCTCTTAAGGGCTAAGGTGCGTGAGTCCCTTCGAGTGAAAAATCAAAAGTTGATTTCCAGGGGTGCGGAGGTGCACAGTCCGAAAAGAAAGAGGCTCTCGATACCAAGTGTTACGGGTGCAATTAATCGAAGTAACGAGAATTGCGCTAAGGTGTCAAACGGGTACAACATGTGAGCGAAGGCATGAGCGAACTTTTATACGCGAAACATGCAAATGGTAACGCGGTGT